TCCCCACAGACCCTCTGAATCTTTAAACAAAGCAACCAGAACATTCCAAACCAGCGCGCAGAGCCCTGCACCGCACAGGGGCTGACAGACAACACACTCCTTTCTTTCCTTCTTGCTTTCTTAGTTTTTATGATTTCCTTCTTTCTTTTTCTTTCTGTCTTTCTTTCTTTCTCAGTTTTTATGATTTCTTTCTTTCTTTCTGTTGTCCTTCCCACTTTTTCCTTCTTGATTTTTCTTTCTTTCTGTTTTTTTATTCTTTAATTTTTCATTTTGCTTACTTTCTTTTTCCCTCTTTTTTCTTTTTTGCATCTTTGTTTTCTTTGCTTTCTTCTCTCTCAGTTTTATTTTTCTTTCTTTCTTTCTTTCTTTCTGTTGTCCTTCCCACTTTTTCCTTCTCGATTTTTCTTTCTTTCTGTTTTTAATTTTCATTTTTCATTTTACTTACTTTCTTTTTCCCTTTTTTCTTCTTTGCATCTTTGTTTACTTTGCTTTCTTCTTTCTCAGTTTTATTTTTCTTTCTTTCTTTCTGTCTTTCTTTTTTTCTTTCTGTCTTTCTTTCTTTCTTTCTTCTCAGTTTATATTATTTCTTTTTTTTTTCCTTCTTTCTTTCTTTTTGACTTTCTAACTGTCTACGCCTTTGCGCACACAAACACCCCCGCGCACGCATATACACAGACACCATACATGTATCTTTGTGTGACACTGGTTCCTCTGCTCTTGCTCGTTGACTGCTGCTCTCAGTAATATTAAAGTGACAGGGAGGACAGTGCCATCTTTCTTCGCTCTGCTGGCCGTGATCACTGCAGGGTCACGGCTTTTTCTTCAGCCGCATCACTCTCCTCTCAGAGCACGAATGACTTCAGCACCTGTACATAATATCTGATTACTGCACAGCTATCAGACTCAGCACAGCTGCTACATCAGGGAGCAGAAAACATCAGGTGAAGTCGCACAGATCCAAATCTTACATTTTAGGAAGAAACTAGAGAGAAATTTAAGCCTCTTTAAAAGCAGGAGTAGCTGTTTGATATTGAATGCTTATGTTTAACTCTTCCATTTAAATGCTGACAGTTTCAGATTTGCTTCCTGTTCCACAGCATTAAATCAGTGTGAAGGGCATTGGATATGTATGTATTTTTGTGACACCAAGCAGGCAGCCTTGGAGTGCTATGCAGTAAATCAGCATGAAACCTTTGAGTAGGGAATGAGAGAGAGAGAGAGAGAGAGAGAGAGAGAGAGAGAGAGAGAGAGAGAGCGCACTTTTAACTTTATTTCGTATTCGATTTTATCTGTTTTGTACAATTTGTCCTCAATTTCTTATCCTTAGCCCTATTACAAGATAGACAGAGTAAGTAGCCCAATACAGGGAGCAATAAGAACACTTTTTCCCAGTCTGATGGTCATCCATCTCCTTTCCTGACACTCTCTAATAGCATCCCTGCCAGTTGCTGCCAGTTGCTCTCAGGCACGTGCCAGAGAAATGGCCATCCCCTTCACTGCAGAGGACAGTGTAGCAGAAGGAATAGACCCCAGATTACATTCACTGTGGCTCTGATGGACACTGCTGTGTTTTAGGGTATACAACTAGGCCCCTTTACTCAAAAACATTGATGGAGTGGAAGCCAGTTAGGCCCAGTTAGCATTATGAAAGTACTCCTGAGTGAAAGACACATTAGCATTGTAATTAAAGCAGTATTTGTGTTCTTTTATTGCCCATAAAAGAACAGAGTATATGATTTTGGAATTTAGACAGCCGCAAATGGACTTTTCAGTCTGCTTGGAATTACTTTTTGCCTTTTTTGTTTCTTGGTAAAATCCATAAGAACTGGAAACCTAACCTGCTGCTGCATGATGATGTAATGATATATATATATATAAATAGGTAACAATAACAATGTTTTTTTTTAAATATCAAAAATCATTACATTGATTGAGGATTACAGGAAAACAAAAAATGTGCATTTTAAATAATATATGATGAATCATGCTAACCAGGGACCAGGGACATGAACTAAGGGGGAAAAAGTCAAATTTCAGACTTTTTAGACTTTAAAACCTAACTTTTTTCCCCCCATCTAAACAGCCTGTCGTCCAGTCCAGTGCAAATATTTTAGGCCACCTGAGAAAAATAATCTGTTTATCTAGCCAATAAGTATTTGCATAGAAAAACACAAACTTTGGAATAAATACAGTACAACATTTATGCAGTACATTTCAATGTAAATGAAGTGTTAGCTTAATCATGTCCAAACCTCCCTTTTAATGTTCTAATGCAGTAACTGTATTATTATTTATTTTTATTTATTCCAACATTTCATGGTACTTATGATACAGGTGCAGCACCAAACTATCCTTGATGTGACAGCAATATGCAGCCACAGTGCACCTGAAGTGTTTGATGTATTAAAAAGCTGCCACTCATCATGCATACTGTGCATTGCCCCACCCGCTAACTGACCACTCGTGAGGCACAGGGCTTAAAAGAGGCAGTGAAATAATACAGCCTCAACTAGCTGGAGACAAAACAGAAAATGAAAGTTCAGTGATGAAGAAAAAGTGGTGTTGATTTTATCAGTGTTGGTTTTATTTTACTCTGAATAAGAAAATAAAGTTTGTGAAACAAGCGCATAGTGGCCGCATCACAGCATGTTTTGTGTTGTATCTGTTCTCATAAACAATAACAAGACTCTGTACACACAAACTAGAATGCTGGAGTCACAAAACCATAACCAACACTTCCCTCCCACAGGCCATAATCCTCCTAAACAAGGACCCTTCTCACATCCCTCTCACATTGTAATGTACATAACTGTTGTATATCTCATACCATACCCTATTTGAATAGAATTCTTTCCCACTTTCCTCTACTGTTGTCAATGCGCATATGCACTGTAACTTACTGCAGTATGCATGTTATATATATATATATATATACACACACACACACACTTCCGTAGTTGATTGTAACTGAACTTATCTACCATTGCACATCCTTATGATACTTCCAGATTGTTTGTGTAATAACAGCACACTTTGCTATAAAACATACATCCACTTACCACAGGCACAATCTTTGCCCAATTAAGACAATATAATTCAGTTATAAATCAGACAGCTGAAATGTACAAAGATAAGGAAAAAACAGCAAAGCTAACTTTAACTAACTAAAACATAAACCTAACTATTGTAGGCTAAAGCATATTGCTATGATGGGCATGCAAAATGTTTATGGACTATTTATGTCTTACCTTTGATGAATCAAAGCACTGAAGTAGACATTTGCTTTGACATTGTAACACAGTTCATTTTAGTGTTTGTGAAAATGACATTCTCTGTTCCATCAGGCACAAGATCCCACCTTTAGAGATCCTCTAGCTACATCTTTTGACCATAGCTTCAATTCAGTTCCAGCATTCATGGAAAACTTTATTCCTTATATTAAAAAATACAGCTTAATATTCTGTCCCCATTTGATTGGGTTGGCCAGTGATCAATTGTGGCTATTCCTCTGATTTATATAGAATGGAATAGAATTTATTGTCCATTTCTGGTAATTTGTCTTTGGCTTCACCATGTTGCACAAGATAGTAAGAAATAAAAAATAGATAAACAACAAAATAACAGTGTGATTCTGATGGTAAACATTCTTTCAGCATGTGTTTAACACATGTGCCTCTGTCTAACTGCTGAGTTTGCTGCTATTGTTAGAGGAACTCAATAGGTCTTTTTAGATCCTAATGCAAATTTACATCTGGCTTTAAAAAGTGCTTTGAAATCAATGCAAAACTACAAAAACTGTAGTAAATTGAGCAGAATAAGTATTCAGCTGCTTGCGTATTATCTCCACCCACTTTAATGTGATCCTCCCATATTTTGCGCAGATCTTTCTCAAATTCTCTCATGTTGCATTTTAAAACATGTACTGCTCGTAAAATGTGTAGCCATAGTCTAGCATCTAGCTAACAGAACAATCTGTTATGAATTAATTTCATTTTAATTTTAAATTATATTGAACTATGCAAAGATATTTCAATTATATACATTTATTATATCTAATTTCCTCTGACAGTCAATTTGTCTGTCTGGCTCTTTAGCAGAATAAAAGCAAAATTTTCAATGCCTAGCAACATAAAAAGCTGCCACTAAATATTCAGAAGTACTACTTTTATGATTTATTGTTATTTTTGTTTATTGGGTGTTTGAAACACCCTTTTCTTACAGAAAGATATCATTTGAGGTGTTTGTATAGCCTCATGCTGACTAGTTCAGTCAAAGTGACCTCTACGGCTTTTCTAGTAGTTATGGAATTCCGATCTTTCTAGTGTTAAACTAGGCTGACTGGTGCAAACGGCTTAGTACGTTAGACCCAAACAAACCTCCTGCTCAGATAAATAGTTTTAAACAGTTTTCTTGGCTATTTTTTGCATAGCACTCTACACCTGCTCATGATATCGGCACCTACTGGAGTGTTAACAGTGAAAGCACTATAATTGTATCTCCTCAGCAAAAAGGTAGAGTCAACACCAGCCAGCGTTTAGGCCATTAAGCTCATGTCAGTGGCGAATGTGCGGAGGCCAAGTTAACACATTTCAAGGCTAGCTGTCGGCATGGCATTAGCCGGCTCTGTTAGAGTGTGATCTGCTCAGGGCAGAGGACAGGAGAGGGCTGCTAGGAGCGTGGCCTTAGAAGAGTGTCAAAGAGACACTGTGAGAGAGTGTTTGATGTGAAACACAGCTCAGCACTCTAATGTCCCTCAGGGGAGAGAGAGGGAGAAAAAAAGAGAGACAGAGTACCACAGTGATTCGCTTCAGTGGAGAGCCAACGTACCTACTGCCCAGAGCTTCCATTTCACCTTTTCATTCTCTCTCTCTCTTTTTCACACGCTTCCCTGCTCCTTCCTTTCCCTCCCTCCCAGTCGAACTATTGCTTTGGTTGTCAAGTATGTTTGCACCCTCTCCGTTCCTGCGCACACCTGTTTTGACACCTGCTGTGTCCTGCAGGAGTCTGAGGGCACTCTGCCTAATCTGATGGTGCTGTGCGGTGACCACGGCATGTCTGAGACGGGCAGCCACGGAGGATCGTCAGAGCCTGAGATCAGTACCCCTCTCATCCTCATCAGCCCCGCCTTCCAGAGGAAAGGTGAGTCTTATTTGTTTGCTCATACGGTCTTCATTTCCCAGCCACATTAGGGCTCAACCAGTATATCATTTGGTCGATGAAATAAGTCAATGTCAAGGCAATAAAGCACTGACAGCATTGTCAGGAAAACACTGATATTGTTAATATACTCATACTGTAACAAACACAGCTCTCTAATATAAACAGAATTGCTCATTTCTGAGGATTCTAATGTTTCCAGGCGCTTTTTACATTCCTTACAGACTGCTAAGCTGGCAGTCTGCAGTTCATGATCATAAAACCAATACAGGCTCCCCTGGTAAACTTTAACACAAAACATCGTCTTGGTTAATATTAGTCCCACGGGGCCAGACGTGGTCTCGTAATGAGAATACACATCAGGGTTGTAGCGAAACCTGCTGCAAACAAGGGCACTCCCCCTCTAAAACTAAATTCCTCTAGTCCATGCTCTTATAACATTTGTGCAGTTTATGCACCAAAAACATGATGTATGTAAATGACCTCTGTTGTAAAGCTTTGTAATATTAAGATCATGTTAACTAATGAAGAAAGTGTTTAGTGTGATGCTCGCGGTACCATTTAACAGTGTCTTTGCGCTGATGCTTTTGGGAAACCAAGCCCTGCTTTAAAAAGTAGTCTGTCTGGCCTTAGACACTCCTCATAACTTCAGTATGAATGGGGGGCAATGTATACTGAATACACAGTGTTTTTGTAGTGACAACACAGAAACAGTGCAAAAATGGGCTTTTTTTAATAAAGTTCCACATACTGTACATACTATGGAGTGGATGGTGTGTTTTGAAACTATAACAGTGTTACCAATCGATAACTCAAGCAAATTAAGCTAGCTAATGCAGTGCTATCAATCGCTAATGGAATTCTTTTTCCCTTGCAGGACATAATACGGCATTTAATGTGTTCTCTGCACACACAACACACATCTACATGGTTATTTTAAGGTTTTTTTTTAGGGAACTTTTCAACGATGCTAACTTACATTGCATCCATGGGCTAACAACAGGCTTGACAACTCCACCTTCACAAGGTGTTGAATTGGTTTAGAGATTTCACACTCAGTTCGTTCCGACCCTAATAAATCTACATTCCCACCCACATTCATCCCGAAGTTTTTCATGGTAGTCCCTAGATGTTCTTATTACAAGATCTGGCTACTTTAAAATAATGAAAAGAACAGAAAATGCATCCAAAGCATAACTATTACAATAAAAGTAACATATTTTAATACAGAAAAAAACATTTATATGAAGAGGTCTGATAAAAAAAAATTGAAGAACAATAAGAGCTAATTAAAGAAACCAATAGCTCCACCCGTAACACTTTCATATTATTTAAACCTTAGCAAGTGCCTGTGGTTTATATGAGAATTTGTGGTTTATTTGAGATTGAGAACTGACATTCTACATAATTAACAGTTAAAAACTGCCATCATATAAGTCAGTAATGCGCTGTTTAACTTTACCTGTTGGAGTTAGGTGGTGCCGTTAGTATAGTTTTGAATGTTTTGTCTATTTTCTTGTTTTGTGTTCAGATAATGGTGCATTCTTTACAAGAAAGACTGAAAATCACAGTCTGCTGTAGAACACTGAAGGTGAATGCTCTCTATTATGTTTGGAAGGTCAGAGATAGAGGAGGAATTAGCCCGTTCCTCTCAACTTCTCTGATAAATGTGACCTTTTAGGAAACACATTCATTTGTGTTTCTGTCATGACATTTTGTTTTGATCTCTTAATAAAGTATTTACTGCAGTCATGCGTCAGCTGGATCTTTCCCTCCATTAGGATGGTACCTAGAAAACTCAGCCACGATAGAGTCTTTTTATTTTTAACCACCTACAATTATGTCAACCAATATTCTTATTTATTAGAAATGTTAGATATCAGTGGCAAAAATGTTTAATCAGACAAGCCCTAGTCCTCAGTGTTTTGGAGGGCACATGTGTCTCGGCCCTGCAAAGTGCTACAGAGCAGATTATCGGTCAGCAGCAATATATCCTCTCTTGTGTTGAGGCTCCGTAATGAAAGTTAAAGCCCACTGCACACATGGAGGTGGAAGCTGCGCTGAGCTGCCAGAAAGGACCTGTTTCTGCAAATGAAACGCAAATTAAGAACTCATTCTGGCTGTAATGATTATTTACAGAGCTACTCTCCATTTCTTTAGTGTAGAATAATCCTTGCCAGGATCAGCTGCACATAAGCATGCAGTTCAGATTGGCTTTAATGAATCAGACATGCAGAGGGGAGTGCAAACTGGACACAATTGTTTGAACAACTGCCCTATTCATAGTGTGAACAACTACCCATATGTGGACAAGTAATTCCAACTCCAATGCTAGCTAAATAATGTGAAGACTAGTAGCACAGCTAAATAATGTGAACACTAGATTAATGGCTACATGGGCCAAATAATGTGACCCCTATCTTAATATCTACCACTAGCTAAACAATGTGGACACTAGATCAATGCCTAACACAAGCTAAATGAAGTGAACACTAGCTTAATGGTTCACTGTAGCATAGCTAAGTAATGCAAACACTAGCTAAATGGCTAACAGTAGCTAAATAATGTCAACACTTGCTTAATGGCTGCTGCTAGATAAACAGTGTAAACAGCCTATGACTTAATATGGTTACTAGCTTAATGGCTAACACTAGCTAAATAATATGACTCCTAGCTTAATGGCTCACAGCAGCATTGCTAAATAATGCAGACACTAGCTTAATGGCTAAGGCTAGCTACATAATATGAACACTATCTTAATGGTAAACACTAGCTAAATAATGTGAACACAAGTTAAATGGCTAAAAGTTTAGTTTTGTTGAGTCAAAATTGTTTATTTCGCTGTCTAACCTAATTTATTCTCTACATGTAATTTTCTTACAGACCAGTGCTTTATGAAAAACAGACTAAATTGCAGTGTATATTTTATCCCAGCCTTAATCCGGAATGCAACCCACACTGACACATGAACATGTGCTTTGCCTCATAACACAAATTCGATTTGAAACCCTGCGCCTGGCCGTTCGTTCTGGATGTACATGTGTCTGCTTGTGTTAAATTGTTGTTGTGGTGGCTTGCAGGGCTATTTTCCAGCCCAGAGCCTTTAGCTCACACACTAATGAATCCCATGTCTGCTAATTCAAAACATTAATTCACCTTTTTCCTTCCCTCATCTCATCATTTGCATTAGTACAGTGTGTAATTGATTATAAATGTGTGGAAAAACACACACAGACACAGACACACACACAATATGGTGAAATAGTGCCTGTCTTTATGAGTGTGCTTGCTATAAGCTGCTGCACACAAGGTGTTACTAAATGTTTGTCTGTGTGATTAATCTCACACATACACGCGCACACACACACACACGCGCACCCACTCTGTTTTCTCGTGCCCTAGAGTGTGAGGTTCTGACGTCTTGGCACAGCAAGCGAGAGGCTCATTATCGTTTCTCTCCTTAACGAAAGTGTGGATGGGCTAAGCATCTGTCTGTTCCACACTGCCTGGATGAATGTGATAATTGTTTCTTTTCCTGCCTGATCTATTTTGGAGATAACACGGGCGTTCACACCCAGTGCTTGCGTCTGCTTAGATAGAAAAAAGGCTCATTCAGAAGACATGCAGCTAGTGATAAATTCTGCATTTGACCACTGTGTACATGCTGTTATCAGTTGTTTTGACTTCTGATGGCCCTGAATGCTGTGATCAACTAACATGTATATAGACCTGTTGTGTGTGAAGTGACCTATTTGTGTAATTGAAATTAAGAAAGCATGACGTTGCTGTCAGATTTGTTCCAAGCAACAGGTTCCTCCTGCAGATGAAGTAGATTTTAAATCTGAGGCTGTCTTCAGAATTTGTGAGAGGCATACAAGATATTCAACTATTTCTCTCTATTTCTGTACATGTGTATATATCCAGTGTACTCAATATTCCCAAAATACTCAATATGTTTTGAGAAATAATTAAAAGAATGCATTGATCATTTAGATTGGATATGCTTTTGATTTGTATATGGATCAAATATATGCTTCAAAAACAATGGAATTTCAGCCACAGATGGTTACCATTGATAATTTAAGATCGAAATTGCACCTCTTTATCTCAAAAAAAAAAAAAACCCTTGAAAATACTGCTCTTATACAATATAGGGAGCTTGACTGTTTCAGAGACAATACTTTCTTTACTCATGTAATGGAATAGCAGTTTTCACAATGTATATGAAAATATATATCATTATCAGGATAAATTTTGCAAATCCAATTTAATATGCTTTTCTGATCTATCATGGATCTCATCAGTACTTGTCAAACACTGACCAGCTGCATGTTTTATTATAAAGAGAGCAAAGTTACTCCCATTTAACTGAATTTAGTGCAACATATTATGTTAAATATTTTATAAATCACTTTTTTACAGATTTTGATTGTATTTTTTTAGTATTTTGATATTTCATTTTTCACTCTTTTTGAATACGGTACTACACAAAAGTTGCAACCACTTAAGCATCTTGTTTAAAACGATTTATCTGGCATTGAGCATGTTTCTGCCATTGCACATAAACGTAAACATAGTAAAACGTAACAAACAAATCTTTGTATTTTGGAACAAGTATCTTACTTGTGAGCTAGTTTGAAGAACAAAGTTTGGTTCCAGATTTCTCCTGGATGTCCCCAGCTTTGTAGTGCTTGACAAAGGTTTTCCAAATTAATCCTGAACCCATGTGGTTATATCGCTTATAGATGAATGACGGTACTTGATGTAGTACCGTCTGAGGCATCGGAGAGCACAGAGCTTGCACCCTTGCCCTTTACGCACTGAAATTCCTCCAGATTCATTGAATCTTTAAATAATTTTATGCAGCGTAGAGGGTAAAATATCCAAATCCCTTGCTCTCTTTCTTTCATTAATTTTCAATAATTTTCTCACGTGTTTTTTTTGTCAAACTGGCGATCCTCGGCCTATCTTTGCTTCTAAAGGACTAGGCCTTTCCTGGTTGCTGCTTTTGTACCAAATCATGATTACAGTCACCTTTTGGCATCACCTGTTTGAAATCACATCATTATTTAATTCTTTTACCTCATTACTAGCCTTAAATTGCCCCATCCCAACTTTTTTTGGAATGTGTTACAGGCCTGAATGGCAAGAATGGATGTATATTTACAAATTGCATGATGTTGACCAGACAAACCATGAAATTTCATTGCATTTTCCATACCGTCTCTATTTTTTCTGATTTGGGGTGGTATAATATCCTTCCCGATGTAGTTGTGGATAGACTGTTCTTGCTGACACATTCTGATCACCTCCTGTAATGACGTTCTCAGTCATCTGAAGGACAACCGCTTTTCTGTTTTTCTTTACATTTCACACTAACACACAAGCATCACAGTCACTGAATGTGCACTTTTGGCCACAATTTCTCACTTCAGTTTATTTACTCATAGATCTAAATGCAGATATGACTTTAGTCACTGTTCCTACTGAAACACTTTCCAGCTGAGTAGCCTTAGTGACTGAAGCTCCTGCCATCCGTGCCCCAATAATAAACCCTCTTTTAATGTAACTTAGATCTTTCCTCCTGCCATCTAGATCTAAATTCAAGGTGAATTGGGCCTGCTTAGCATTTTATATGTTAAATTCTTAATTGTATCATTGAAATTCAGGTGTATGTATGTGTGGGTGTTTTTCTTTCTTCACCTGTGTTGTACTGCACGCGTTTGTGCTGCAGTGGAGTTTGTGATGCAGAGGAGCCTGCTGTGGTGGAGCAGGTGGACCTGTGTGTGTGTATATGTATTAATGCTGCTTGTCTTTGTACCTGCAGTGGGTCTGGAGCAGCCTGCTGTGGTAGAGCAGGTGGATCTTGCCCCCACTCTTGCACTGGCCCTGGCTCTGCCCATCTCTCAGAACAGCGTGGGCCGTCTGATCCCGGCAGTGTTCGAGGAGGCCTCGCTCAGGGAGCAGCTCCGTTTCCTCCACATCAATGGCCAGCAGCTCAGCAGCCTGCTCAGAGACAGCAACCCCAACTTCCATAAGGGTGAGCCCACTGACAGATACACCACCATAACACAGAGCAAGAAGCCACAACACAGAGTTCTGTGTTTGCTCTTTTCCAGCACCTCAGACCCAAGTGATTAGATAATGCATACCAATACAAGTGTATTGTCACATCCAGCGGTCATACTGTGTAGAATCTTGTAGTGGAATTCATTAACTTAAGTAAATACAAGGAAGTATTAGTATTGACATAAATAAACATAAAACTTAAACTTTTATACATAAAACTTTTCTTTGAAAGGAGCGCTCGTCGTAGTTTTAGCATTGTCAGTGCTTGCCAAAAAAAGATACGGTAAGAAACAGTACGTTTAGAAGAGATCAACGGACATTTTGGCGATACAGGTTTAAATTTCAATACGTAATTTTGAACTTTTATTGTTATTTTTTTTTGAGTGCAGTTTTGAAATCATTACTCCCTCAATATATAAACATGTTTCTTTAAACAAGGACACAAAGTGTCATTGATGCAAAGCACCAGCATGTAGTATCCCATTCATAATTTATTTGTTTTGTTTGTTTGGTTTGTTTTTTGCCAGTGGACATTACCATAATCCAGCTGACTTATGTAGTTTGGGGAAGAATAATGTGAGAAAGTGAAACACTTCCTGAGCTAAATTCATTCTTGTAATGTCTGATTATATTTATTGCATTTTTTAAAAAGTGTTTAAAATGTTAAAATTAACACTTATTGAGGTTCAATATAGAAATATATTTATCCAATAGTACAAAGTATGTTTTTAACATTCTCTACTAGGGGTGGGAATCTCTAGGTACCTCACGATTCAATTCGATTATGATTCAGAGGGCTGCGATGCGATTATAAAACGATTATTGATGCATCTCAATGCATCTTTTTTTTTCTATACAGGATTTCTATTTTCTCACTGTGTGAGGACTTGGTGCTTTTAAAGTAAAGTATTTGTAATGATCCATAATGAATTCAACTGAGAATTGCCGTGCAGACTGCAGGTGACCTAGCAACGATGCGCTATTCGCCTTTATAAGCAACATAGTTGGTTTCCTGGTATTTTAAATCTGCAACGAGAGACTGTCAAACACTAAAAAGTGGCGAAGCTGAAGTCGCTTCTCTTTCGAATTTTCCCGTTCCACCTTAAATGGTGCCGCATTTACATTCGCCGCCTCAGTCAGAATTTTAGGTGGAACTGGAAAATTCAGCAAGAAGCTGGAGAATAAAAAGTGACTTCAGCCTCGTAAAGCAGTCAAACGTTGAGAGACATTTTGCAAGAAACTGATCAACTTTTAAAGAAAAGTTTTCTGGCGGAAATGGGAGGGAAGCTTAAAGCAGAGCAAAGCAAGTCTGCGCTCTCGTTTGTATTTTTTAACCTGTACTAGGACATTAACACATACTGAAACATACTGGACATTAAATGTTGTGGCTCCCAAGGTGGTTTGATTTTTGTTGAAAGGACAGAATGGCTCTTCTTATCATTTGTGTTGTGACTCCTGATCTAACCTGGCTTTTAATGCAGAGGGAGCCGGTCGGATTTCTCACTCATCCAGTGGTGTTTTTGTTATGTGCTGCCACAGACTGTCCGGGCGCTGCACTTACCCACTTCCAAGTTCCGCCATTGATATTTGCATGCTGAAAGATTGTGATTTTGACATTAGCATGTAGTAATATGCTACTTCGTGTTTCCCACTGCACAGTAAGAAAATGTGCATCCTTGTAAGCTGCCACATTATGTGATTTTCTGCCAAATCAGTGACATAGTAATATTCAGCACATTACTCCGGTTTCTTGACGATATTGTGTTTTAAGTCTGGCACACAGATCCACTCTCACACCTCACGAATTCAAGCCCAGTTTTCAATCCAATTCAATTTCTTCTTCTTTTTACAGCCTCAGTAGCCTGACAATACCCAGGGCTGAGAGAGACATGGGCTTTGCCTTTGGAATACCATAAATCCATACAAGCAGGGAGTTAAAGCTCTTAGAGCCCAAAGCCAAGTATTTTGTGTGTGTGTGTGTGTGTGTGTGTGTGTGTGCATGCACAAGTATTCCTTCCTATGAAGTGTAATCATATCCACACTCACCAGGAGCATCAGCGTCACCATCCACAGTCTGCTATCTGTGACTGACACACTTCTCTCCTGTGTGCGTGTGAGACGTTATCCCTTTTCTTCATGCTGGTGCTGGTGCACATGATCTCATGCTCTCACATATGCTTTTTGCAGGTGATTGTGTGTGTGTTATGTTGGCTTGTGCGTGGGCTGAGTGCAGTTGTGCAAGGCTGTGCCGTGTGACTGCGAGATGAAAAGGAATGTGAAGGAGGGTGTCACTACTTAAACTCTTTTAAGATGTGTATCGATTTAAAATAGATCTCAGTTAGAGCACCTCTCCCAGTCACCCTTCTTAAAAACCTCCTACAGTTGTCACCCCTCAGTATATATCTACACTCTGAGCTACAGAGAGCAGTCATGATTCATTTATACATGACCATTTTTCAACCTATCTCTATCCCTTTGAATTAAACAGGCGGTTTTAATACTGTATTTTTAAGACTGACATATGTAAATGACCTGTGCTCTGATTGGCTGCCCAGTATTGCGGCTCATTTAAAAAGCAATCCAGGCTGAAACACTCCTTATAACTTCAACATGAATGGGTGGGGCTAAGCTGCTGTTGGCGGAGTAGGCAGTGGGCTGTTTTTGCAACTTAATTACCAGATATGGACTGTATGTCCCTGGGGATTGAGTGATAGGTCTGAAAACTTTAACAATGCTTACATAATAATAATAATAATAATAATAATAATAATGATACTAGCAAGACCAAAGATGATACTGCGTCTTCTATTTCTTTAACCCATTACCAAGCCATGGTTCCACTGGCGGGCACAGAGTTTTATTACACACTTCTATAACCTAATAAAAGCTTTATTTATTGAATAATAACCCTTAGTTTGTAATAAGCCTGGGATTTTAAGAGGTTAAAGGGCTATTATGATGAAAAAACAAATGTTCCTTACTATACTGTAATAAAGGGTTTGTTACAATTTCAAAACGTACCATTTACTCACAAGTTCATACAGTCCATATATGGAAGTTAAGCTGCAAAATCAGACAGCTTTGAATTTGCTGTTGTTGTGATGTCATGAAAACCAACACATTTACATACATCTATCCATTCAGTGTACATCAGTTTAACCCCGCCCATTTATGTTGAAGTTATAAGGGGTGTTTCAGCCCAGATTCCTTTTTGTAAGAGGCACAATGCAGGGCAGCCGATCAGAACCAAGCTCTTCTACTTATATCAGTCTTCAAGGCAAAGTAACAAGAACAATTTAATCAGAACTGATAAAGAGGTTTGAAAATGGTCTTGTAAAAGTTAATTCTGACTATTTTTGGTACATAAATCCATAGAAAACTTGGAGTTTGAAATGCAGAGTGAACACAATCATAAATAAGAGATTTACTCTAATGAAAGGCTCATATGCCATGTGGTGTCTTGGTTAAATAAACAAATAATTGCATTTTAAACAGTATTTGTGCCAGTTTTGTCACAGTGAAAGCTTACTACACTATATCTCAGCAGTAAACATGATTTGAATTATTTAGTTTCTCTTTCCTTATCATTTTTATTAAAACAGACAGTGTCCACTTTTCTGTGTCACCAATATGGGACGAGATGTGGCAATTGCAAGCAACAGTAGCCATGTAGTTCTTCAGCATCTGCCATTCTGTCAGAAAGATGGATCTCTTGTTGCTTTTTGAGAACACAAGCAGTCTGTATGTGCCTTTCAGAGCAGCCACTCCATGTGTGTGCTAAGCCGTCTGGTAAAATAATGTTATTAATTAAGTGCTCCCTCGACATTTACGCACATCCTTCTCCCTGGGAACCAACGCACTTATTCAGCTCTGTAAGTCACTGGTCCAAAAATGGCTCATTTCCAGGAGTGCTCATTTGTTCATTTGCTGTATGTCACCAGTGCCAGTACAGGTTCAGTGGAGTTCTGACTTATCAGAGCTCTTTCTATTCAACAAAATATTACAGTACTGTGCGAAAGTGAGACATCACCATTTAGTTTATTTCATTTCCAATCAAAGCAGTGATTTAGGGCAAGTTACTCATTTTTCAATGTCAAGAAAAAAGCAGAAAACATATTTAACAGAAAATTACAGAGAGGCCTCAACAACTAAACACAACATCATGTTTTTCAGTACTTAGTGTGTCCACGCTTTGCCTTTATATTATATTATTATAGCTTACATTCTTTTTGAGAGACTTGCTTTTAGTTTTTCAAAGAAATCTGCAGGGATATTTTTCCATGGTTTTTGTAAATGTCTCCAAAGTTAAGTCTTTGAAGTTGGTTGCAATTTTTGCTTTTCACAGTCCAAGTAATCATAATTACAAATTTAGACTCATTAGTCCATTAAACCTTACTCCACATCTCAGATATGTAGTTTCAGTGTTCTAGTGAAAAATTCCTTGTTCTTTTTTGTCTTTTTTTTCCTCAGTAACAGTTCTTGAGGGCTACACATTCTTTCGGAACCATAGCACTGAGTTGTCTGTTCACAGTGGACGGACAGAAGGACAGAAACCCAATAACAGATTTTCTTCAGATCTGAAGCAAGAGTGGAGCTTGATTTTCTCCTCTGTCTCAAAGATGACTTTAAGTTATGTACAACTTAATATACAAGGCATGGAAGATTACTTGAGTCAAAATAACAAGAACATTGCTTAGTTAATAGCGTAATTGTCAGTGACAGCTCTACTACCTGCTGAACATTAGCTTACAGTAAATCAATTGCCAACCTACTGACGGTAAACATTGCATTCACAGTCTTAAAACTGTATAAAGTTACTGATACCTGCATAGTGCATTCCTACCCTTGAAATCAGATACATTAAGCTCTTCAGACATCTGATTCCTTTCACCACCGCTGTGAATAACTCTGATTTAATTCTGAAGTATTTTCTAGAATGAAGCATTTCACATCAAACCACTCTGAATAACT